CTTCTAAGATATCGAAGCAAATCGTCAGTGCCATAATTCCCTTAAATGACATGCGCGAAATCGTCTTGTCGGGGATAGTGCCATAATATGGAGTTTCTGTTAGCGTCCTTGCAGATAGTTCTGCCAGAATACACGTGGGGAAATGCAGGTGTTCTCTTTCAATGCCGTTGATTTACTGTGAAGTGCACAGATGCTGCCAGTTCCAAGGGCGAACAATCGGGTTGCCGTTTCCGCTCCCACGGTTCAGCACTGTAAAAGCTGGCATACTATACAGTACATGTATTCCTTCAGTATATGTTCATGCTGTTTCTTATAAGGTTAATGTCTCAAAAGGATAGATGCACTCAAGTCTCTTGTTCACAAGTGAACTATAGGTACAAGTTTGAGAGATTTTCACAGCCGCGCAGCTACTATTCTGACGTGTTGTCAGCGCAAAGTGCATGAAGTTTGCCTTCATCTACAGGCGCTTTCAAAGCGTTACGTTAAAAGTTCACCACAAGTACACTCGCCAGTAAAAGTCCCAATGGAGATGCTATCATAGCACGTTAGATGTCAGACCATATTTCACAGGCAGGCATTCCATGTCACAATTGCTACCAACAAGTCGAGCCACGTACGCGAAATCAAGGCGCTGAGAAAAACCTTCATTGTGCATTCTCGCTGATATAGTAAAGGGCCTAAACAAAAGAAAAGCGGAAGTGTACACTATGCGTCGGCTCACAGCACCCGCATCCAATGGGTAACAGGGGCCGTAATTCACCGGTACGGCTGAAACGCGAAACAGCTACGTCGTAGGTGTTTGGGATTGTCTCATCACAGCTGCGCTTGACTAACCCCTTGTGGCGAGCCAGGTGCCGCTGCCACAGCTGCGTATGGAGGACCGAGCTTGAGGTGTATGGATGAACGGCGTGAAAACGTACGGGAGATGGCAGATTTAACAACACCGAAAACAAAATACGAAGGCAAGGATGAGAGGTAACAACAGAAGCCTTGAAGGGCAGCCTCGAAGACCTCTAGCCTGTTAGCGTGCTACAGAGAACAATGCAGCGCGCCGAGTGGAAGCGCACCGTGTATTTGACTTCAAGAAACGCAACCAATAGTCGTACATGGTTGGCGGCATCCGGTTTCGGATTTGCCTGTCACTGTGGCCAGACACAGGACGCCTGCGCCTACAGAGGGACCATGGGTGGCTTGCGCTGCACCACTTACAGCTCCATCCACACACCCCACATCCAGTGTAAACACGAAGGAATAAGACCAGGAGGCATGTGGATGGGAGGCACATTACATCAACGGAGCCGGCCCACACTCCTTCGCAGGCAAACACAAGCACGCTGTATTTGGGGAATCAACCGCACGCAAGCCGGTGGCTGGACCGTAGTCCGCTCCACACGGAGTGCATGGAACCACTCTTCGAGCCTAGCACGACCACAAGGACCGTGCACCCTGTCCCCTCCAGCAACGACCAACTATCTCCTAGAGACAGTATGGACGAGGTAGTGGGTAATAGACAGGTAGACACCTTGTCAACATGCACATCAAGCGCAGCCGCACCGGGGATGTCAAACAACAGCCAATCACTTGAAATAACAGTAACAAATAAAATATATATGTTAAAGAATACGACTATGCAGAAATAATTCTTCCCTAAATTAGCATATGAAGTATGTTGGTTAGCAATGAATCCGCGATAAGTAAAAAATGTCCAGAAGTGACTCAGAAAATGCTACAAACGCAACAAAGTTATCGAAAATAAGCGCAATGAACGTAAGCAACGTGGCCAGCTAATAGAAGAGTATTCAGGTAGGCAGAACAAACCAAATAAAGTGGAATGAAATTTATCCAGCTTAAAAAGACCTGGTTTAAGTGTAAGTTGGTTTAGCCCAACTGCGGTGAAGAAGCATCAAGAATGCAACATCAGCCTCAGAATAGTCGTACATACAAACTGCCTAACTCACTTAGGTATACAAAAAACAGTAACTTAGGAATATTTAGCAAAATACAGGGAAAACAAACGAGATCGTCAAGCTGGAGAACAAGGTAGCTCAAGTCAGTTAACAATATATATCACCAGTGTATATGAACAATGCGTTTAAGGTGTAGGTTGAGAACCTCTATTCTGTAATGTTTCCTGAAACCTCGTAGATGCGAGCAACTGCCGCACAAATCCACACAGGTACTCCACTAGAAATTAGACGCTCGGCATAACTAGGTGAAGCTGGCGACAAGTTTCGTGTCTACTGTATGAGTGGCTCCGAAAAGCACCAACCAGAGGAATACAAAAATCACGCGTCGCAGCATATAACAAGTGGTAGACAATTGTCGAATGTTCACTTGTGATGCGTAGCTCGCAGCAACTGACTGTAATCAAACTGACTCTTCAACGCTAGGCACTAGAAGAAAACGTGCCAGTACTGTTGTGGTTTCCGCTGAATGCACGGATAGCCTGCTTGAATCTGCTGTGACGCCCCCAAGCAGTTCAACCCGCAACGAAATGAGAACGCCAAGACCAGCCGGACCGAAGAATTCGTATTGTATGCGAGAGTAGCGCAATAAACAGGTTGGAGGCAAGTATTAACACAACAGTATTGGAGATGATAAGTAATATCAATCCACACAACTCGAACGGTTAAAGTTCAGGGTTCAACTTGCTAGTGACCACACCTAGATTCGCGTATGATCTCTGCTCGAGTTCAATCTCCAAGTGCAGATTGATCCAATGTTGTGGCACGGTTCTTGGCTTGTAGGTTGATCGTAAGCTGGCTCTCCGCAACAAATATATCGTTGGCAACGCTTATGATGAAGGCAAAAGGTTTACGAGCATCTGAGTGAAAGCTGGTTGAAGCATGTACAAGGACATTGAAGTGAGAAGGCACGAAGAAAAGTTGAAGCTCATGCAACAATGGCGCCTCCTCAAAATAGATCACTGCAATATGTGGAATACCGGATTGATGACCATGGTATTTAGGGAGCTCAAAGTGCGCTGACAATTGAGTAAGGACTGATAGCAGCGGTAAAACTGTTTAGTCGAATGTATGCTGGGCGGCATCTGGTTCCGGATTTGTCTGTCGCTGAGGCCACAGAACACTTGCGCCTACAGCGTTACCATGGGTGGTGTGCGCTGCACCAACCACAGCTCCATCCACACACCCCATATCCAGTGTAAACCCGAAGGAATAAGATAGGAGGCATGTGGATGGGAGCCACGTGTCAGCAACGGAGTCGGCCCACACTCCTTCAACATGCACAGCAGCAGCATTACTGTTTATCTATATGGGGAATCATGCGTACCAGACGCACACAAGCCGGTGACTGGGCCGTAGTCCACTGCACACTGGATGAAACCATTCTTTGGGTCAAACACCGTCACGAGGACCGTGCACCACGTCCCCCAGCAACGATCCGCAGTCTCCTGAAACCAGTCATCCAGATAGAGGGTGTGCGGTCAACATTTACATCAAGCGCAGCCACACCGGGGATACCAAACAAGCAAAATAGAATTTGAAGATAAACACGCAAAATCGACACGGAACATGAAGCAGAATAACAGAACTGGACAAGTCAAATACAGGTTAGGAAGATCTACTTTAATTGTAAGCAGGTGTAGTCCAACAGCAGTAATAATAATAATGTGTCAGCTGTACGCCGTAACGGCGCTTCGCTGCAGCGCGACCACCACCAGTCGCGCGCGGGCTGAGTATACCGCGAGGACGCCCACCCCTACGCGGATTCGAACTGGTGACCTTATGGTTGCAAACCAAACGTGCAGACCACCGGCCGCAGTGAAGAAGCATGAGGTGAGCAGACAGGTTGATAAGTTGATCGGCACGAATAAAGGGGTGCAGAGATAATGGGTTGCTGAAATAAACACAGCACCTGGCACCAATCTCACCCGCGAAAACGCATCGAAATATGATTGAGAAAAATGAAAACGTCGTCAACCGTAATCACAAGTCGACTGAAGGGTAGTCAGAAGACATTTGGGAGCGTAACGTAAAACGTAATGGAAGTATTGCGAGTAAAATGAGTGATAAGTAAGGTAGGTGAAGAGCTAAATCAAAACCATGTGTACCGAAAAAACAACGTGTGTCCGTTAGCGTGTGAAACATGTGTACATGGTTCGGTTACAATATGGTCCAATAACTTGGGGCTATGTCGTGAAATGTAAGTGGACTAGTTCAACAAGTCGTTTATTGCATATGGATAAAGTAGGATAACAATGGAATTTAGAAGAGCATTCAACGACTGACAGGCCCGAAAGGAGGAAAGGTTTCTGTGTGGTAACCTCTCAGGTGTGATTGTTTCGACAAGTGAAGGTATGTGTGATTGGAGTCATTAAGCCACAATAAGACAACCCTACAGACGCTAAGATTATCCGCCGTAAAATTCTAGTACCTTCAATCTTACTAACTGATATAAAGTAATTTCGTAATATTTTTAGTCAACCATCGTGGTGGGCCTGATGCAGGGCAAGCTCATACTTGTTAAGGAGTTTCCAGGCCTGGACAGTGTAATCCGTATGGGGTCTCATGTAAGTGTTGAGCATGCGCGGAAAAACTGTAGACTTGAACCGCACTTCGTAGGAGGCCTAAGTGTTGGCACGCTTTCAGAATTGGTTTTCCAGCCTGCAGAGAGCAACCGAGGTCACTCCGTCGGAGTTCCTTTTATGGAAAGTGAAGAGAGGAACGATTCATTCTAGTAAGTAGTGGCTAGTCACAAGGTGCAGAGTTGCACCGTGTTATTGCTGCTCAAAATTTCGCAATAACACTTGTGGTACTAAAAGTCGGTGTGAAAACAGGAAGGTGAGTGATACCACGTCACTGAGGAAGCGTTACAATAGCGATAGGATTAACAGCGTCCCGCTGATCCGAAAACAAAAAATAAAATATCGGTAGCCTAGGATGAGCGCACGTCGCGATGATATTTTCGGTGAAATAAATATTTCCAGTTGAGCATAACCAGGAGCAATAGTTGGAAAACCGATTAAAATATCAACTAACTTTAGATAACTGACTTTTGCTGCACACCTTCGAATTCGCCCCCATGAGTAGAAAATCAAGAGATGGAAAGAACAATTAGTGGCAGTCCGTAAAAGTATTGAAGTCGGTACATGAATTTGATGGCCATCACAATGAACGAACCAGATACTGAAAAGGACGATGGGACAGATTAATATGTACCATGAAATGATCGGTAAGTTATGGAGCTGTAAAGACCACAGACCGGGTGTGGCTAGTAACTAGTAAATGTTGTTTGAAAAGCCGCCAACTATCTTGCATAAAGGCTCATACAGTTAAGCGGAACATCGGTGAAAGTACAAAGCTTTGTGAAGCAAGATGGACTGAAGGACAAGCTCGGCAAGGATTGCTGTGGGTTCATCGTCCTCCTAAGGATACCACCCGTAATTTTGGGCAATTGAATACGCTGCATTGGCACAAGAATCTGACAATGCTGACACGAGTTGAGACAAGTACAGTCGTTTCAGGCTTCGCGAAGATCCCGTTTCTTTACTCCTCGACCATACCAAGGAGTTCAAGGGTCTAGCGAAACGCACACACAGGTAAGCACATACAAGCGCATGATTGGAGTCCACATCTCTGCTTTAGATCAAGCGATAGTTTTGTATAGTCTCTCCAGTGGTAAGCGATCGCAATGTGATCGATTTACGTCCATGGCTAGTGGGCGCGATTTCACTCTTCCGCGGGTGCTGTGAGAAATAGACGAGGATCTTGATACAGATACAGCAACCGTTCACCATTATCATTACAACAGCCTACACCATGTTGGCCGCCCATTTGCAGCTCAACACAAACACCCAAGACAATAGCTGAGAAAGACACCTCAGCTATTGTGCCCCAATACAAAAGACATATCATCATCATAATACACGTTAGCCAGAGGTGGGGAACATCTCAGCTGCTGTGCCGCAATACATAGAAAAAAGGAGAAAAAAAGCAACTTGTGCAAGCCGGCTGAGCTACCGGTAACGAATGGGCATCGTTTCGGTAAGCTACCAGCCGGCTACTGTGTATCAAAAAAATTACTATGCAAAATTATATAAGGCTAAATAATGAGACCGTGGTTGGAGGGGAAGGCTAAGAGGGATGGGGAGGGACAAAGAAACTCACAGCACGAACGCCACTGAGGTCGGCTCCTATCCATATCAGCAAGTGTGTCCAACCAAACGTGTTCATCGTCTTTGGGACCTCAACCAGGGAGCCGAGACGCTCCAACCGAAGTCAGCTCAGAAGTGAGAGCCTTCATTCCTATCAACCAAGTATTCACTTGGCCACCCCTCCTCTTCTTCCATCCACACCCCCGGCGCGCAAACAACGCACGTCGCGGGAGTCGGTGAGCTGGCATGCGTAACACGTGGCCTAGCCATCGAACTCTGGTGCGTGAAATAACGGTGCTGAGCGGTTTAGTTCCGTTTCCCGTGCCATAAACAAGGCGTCGAACACGCTCGTTGCTCACGCGGTGTTCCCACCAGATGAGAGTTAAACTGCGAAGGCACCGGTGGTCGAAGGTAACTAGCCTCTTTAGGTCCGTTGCTTTAAGGGGCCAGGTTTCACAACCGTATGGTAAGATCGAACGTACCGTTGCATTGTACACTCTACCCTTCAGGGCAAGAGTGACGTCGCGCCGCCGCCATAGGTGGCGAAGGTTAGCAAAAGCGCCCCGAGCTTTTGCTATGCGGTTCGTGATCTCATCTTCAATCCCACGGGCGCTGATACAACCTCCCAGGTAGTTGAATTTCTGAACGATTTCTAGCTGATCCCCACCAATGGTCAGCGAAGGAGACGGTTCAGACAAATCTTGCAAGAAACACTTTGCACTTCGAAGGTGCGAAGCAAAGCCCGAAGTGACGGACAGCTAGTGCTAATCTGTCCAGCGCGGCTTGGCACGTCTGGGAGCTGTCACAGCTTAGGGCAATATCATCAGCATACTCTAAGTCAAGAAGTCGTTCTCCTCGGAATAGCTCCACACCTTCAAAGTCGTGTCCTGTGAACCCGATTTTCATGACTTCGTCAACAGCGAAGTTGAAGAGGAAAGGGACAGCAAGCATCCTTGTCTCACACCGCTGGAGATAGTAAAGGGCGACGACAACTTGCCGTAAGCCCTCACTCTGCCCGAGCTACGCGCATATAATGCTCGGACAATATTCACATATTTCTCAGATACACCTTTCCTGAGTAGACAGTCCCAAAGCGCAAGTCTATCCACCGAATCGAATACACTTTTTATATCGAGGAACACGACAAGGGTGGGCCGCCAATATATGTGACGGTGTTCCAACACGTGACGCAAAGTGAAGATGTGGTGAATGCATCTACCACCTCGACGAAACCGGGCTTGCTTTTCACGAATAGGGCTTTCAAGAGTGCCAGTCTGTCTGTGAAGGATGACAGAGGCAAGCAATTTGGAGGCGATGGAGATCAGACTGATTCCTCTATGGCTGCCGCATTACGATCGTGAGCCTCCCTTGAAAACTGGGACCATGACAGAGCGAATCCAGTCGATTGGGACAGTTTCCTGCTCCCACAGTTTCACTAATAACTGGTGTAATTCGTTCACAAGAGCAGGTCCCTCGAATTTGAACAGGGCTGGAGGAAGATCATCTGGTCCCGCGGCTTTAACTAAACTTCAACAGTTCGATCTCACGTTCGACTTTTGAGCCAGAGGGTGGATCCAAAGGGACAGACCACGGAGCGGGGCGAGAAATCGAACAATTCTGGTCGATTAAATTGCCTTTCAAAATGCTCAGCCCAATGCTCCAAACGTTTTGACAAATTGTGGATAGGCAGTCCACTCTCGTCACATATAGTTTCACTAACACCAGGTCTTCTGCTGTCCGATTCCCGTATTAGCCGGAATAACTTACGATGGTTGCCAAGGGCAGCGGCCACTTCCATCTCTGACGCACGATGAGACCACCAGGATTCTCGGTCTCTCTTCAGGCTAGCACGGAGTTTTGCCCGGAGCTCTTTGCGAGTTTTATTGTGTTCGCTTCCAGCCAGGATATGCCGGCGAGCATCTATAAGTTCCAGAGACTGTGAAGGGACCCAATGTCCATGTTGGCGATTAGACATACCACATGGTTTTCCTGCTGCTAGTAAGGTCTGGTGAATATATGACTAGTGACCTTCAATTGCATCCAGTGAGCGTTTATCCAACTCGCACGACAGCGTACTTTGATAGGCATTCAGAACACCTGGCTTCGCCAGTTGGCTAGTGTCAATGCGCTCACAACGTCGTCTTGGGCGTCCGCCAAAGTGCATCCGCAGGTCAGCACATACAAGTGCATGATCGGTATCCACACCTGTGCTCCAAACCGAGCGACAGTTTTGGGTGCAGCCTCTCCAGCGGTAACTGATTTCTATGTGATCGATTTGCGTCCAAGGCTGGTTCGAGGCTTGTGGGCGCCAAGTCACCCTGCAGCGGGTGCTGTGTCAGAATTAGTGCTCGCAAGAAATAAGCGAGCATCCTCACACAAATGAAGTAACCGCTCACCGTTATCATTACGGGAGCCTACACCATGTTGGCCGCCCAGATGCAGCTTATCAGTGGATAATTTTCCAACTTGAATGTTCAGATTCCCGGCCAGCACTACAGTGTTCGAGCTTCTTCTGTGACTAAGATGCTCGTTCCATTGGCGATAGAAGTCGTCTTTTACCGAGTCATCGCTGCAGTTTGTCGGTGTATAGGAGCAATAACGAATAGACAGCTGTTAGTCCCACGCGACTTAGAAGTTTTGAACGAGCCAGCCAATCGGACCGCACACATCCGGCTACTGAGTGGAATCCAATCAACCAGAGCATTTTCATCCCGGGGACTCAGGGCAATGCCAACATCAGCTTGGCCGGTGCTCGAAGCTGCATCGTCACCGGATAGACGCAATGAGAAAGTGCTGCTGGTGTCACCTGAAGGGGATCGCAGAGTGAGCACAGAGCTCGAGTCTTGCAGGCGGGTCTCTGATAAGCAGCAGATATCGATTGAGAGGGTCTCTAAAATTCGGGCACGTGCTGCCTGTTGACCGATCTGAAGCAATGTGTGAACATTGAGGCATGCCAATCTGAAGGAGGATCGAGGGCTCCAAACGGAAGCCGATGAACTGGAATGGGCCGCTTGCTTAGACATGGGCCGGTTAACAGGGCAGGAATGACGCTCCGCGTTCACATGTGAGTTGAAACTAAAAGGGAAGCGACTTTTGAAGCAAGGTGGGGGAGGGCCGAGAATTGGGGGTTGAAAACAGGGGGGATAAAAGTGAAGCTGGAACGGGACGATAAGGGTGAAAAAGCGCAAGTGGGGGAATAAGAAGACGGGAAGGCTTAAACAGTAGCATCCAAACCCCTATCCACTCTGCCCGATGCAGCAGATAGGGCACCGTTTATTATCCTCTGCGGTGGTCAGAGCATCAGAAATTTGTTTGAAGTGAAATTCATAGTACTGTGTGGGCAGGATACTGTCAGGTTGCCCAGGCCTAGACAGGAGAACGATTAGGGTTCTCAATCAGTCTTTGGTTCAAAAATCTGTCCGCAAGGTAACGGGTTTGGCGTTGGGCTACAATGAGTCCGTTTTAAGGAATAAGGAGCCACCCTCATTCCAACCCCCAACCTGGAGGGCCAGGAGACTGAGCTTGTCTGGCCTCTAACCATTGATCAATCTGGTATGAGTGGCTCTGAAGGTGCAAAAATGCACCACCCAGTATAGCTCAATGGATCATTAACCGTTTGGTTTCCGGCACACAGACTTGTTCTAGTTTAGAGCAACTGACACAAATTCCAAAGCGACCGTTTAAGGCAACAGGCCGAGGATTTCACGGACAGCTAGTGTTGTTTGCCCCACTCATTCCTCCTTAGGTTTCCCCTGACGTGACCTTCACCCTAACCTGACTACTCGCTATCTTCCGCGCGCGACTGTTAGGTTATTCTCGTGTGTGAGGACTGCGTTCCCTTTGCTTCTGTTGCTGTTATTTTCTTCGTAACTCTTCTCATCATCCCTGCGGAATAAAACTTCTAATGGTCATTGATTTTTATTTGCGTGTGGACTCACACTTCCGCTTAGACATCTACTACATATTTGGTGACCCTGCCAGGATCGGCGACAAGGATTACCGCTTTTCTCATAAAAGGAAAACTATGCCAA